TCTCCAAGTATAGGGGGGTCGAAGAAGACTCCCTCTTGAGATGGTTCGTCGAATTGGACGACGCCGTAAGGGCGCGTCGCATCGACGACGGGGATATGCAAGTTGCATTTGCCCAGTCAAATCTGGCAGGACGTTCCAAGACTTGGGCACTGGGGCTCAAGTTACACGACCCATATGCGTTTGGGTCGCTGGAAGTCTTCAAGTCACGGCTCAGACAAACGTTTGAACCGCCTAGAGCTGAGTTCAGGGCTCGAACCGAACTCTTGAAGCTCAAGCAGGGTAAGCGTGATGTGCACGCTTACGCTCAACATATACGACATCTCACGAGTTGTATAAGTTCCAATCCGGTGGATGAACACACGTTGGTTTCGGTGTTCATGCAGGGTCTTGCGGATGGTCCCGTCAAGACTCACCTGTTCCGATATGAACTAGATTCACTAGAACAAGCCATTTACATTGCTGAACAGGAAGACTTCAGTCTGAGACAGGCTCGCTCCAGCTCGACATCATATCGTCAACCGAGACGATATGACAGCGGAGGTCCAGAGCCGATGGAACTCTGTTATGTAGAGAGCAAGAATGCTCGCTCTACAGACTACAAGAAGTTGCAGATATGCAACAGATGTCAAAAGACAGGACACTACGCTTACGAGTGTAGTGCCCCTCGTCCAGTGTCTCGCAACACTGGGCGTAGTGACCGTCCACCCATGAGAAAGGGGCAGGGACGCGGGTCTGCTGGTGGTGCAAAGACGCAACAACGGGATGGACCGTCAAAAAACGGACAGGATCAGTAGGTGCGGAGCACCCTACTGGTCTAGCAACGTCAAGAGAATTTGTAGGCCTCTTGATGAAGGTTGCTCCCAACACACAAACGTTGTTCGTTGCTGCTCTAGGTAATGAGGTCTCACTCATTACCTTGAAACTCGAAGTGACGAATAAGTTGTCCCTTCGAGCTCTAGTCGATTGTGGGGCGTCCAACAATTTTGTGCGACGCCAATCGCTAGAAGATGGTCACTTTAAATTCAGAGAATGTGACACACCTCCTACGAGGATGACGGTACGTCTTGCGACAGGCGCATCCGTAACCAGTCATGAAGCGTATAGTGAAGATCCACTATACGCTAGAAGATACCCAATATGACGATGACTTTATCGTATTGGATTTGGATGACAAATTTGATGTCATCCTTGGAATACCGTGGCTTAGAAGGTACGAACCACGGGTAAACTGGCAACATCGGACAGTAACGATGCCTGCCGCTTGTTCATCAGATGGCCATCTGATGAACGTTTTGGAGCGTCCACAAGCGTGTGGATGTACTACGAGTGAGTGCGATGGCCTCACTTGTGGTACGGTCGTTAGTACGACTGCACAAAACCTTAGTGTACCAAACGGTTACACTTCGGAGCAAAGTTCCGGCGGCTGTGAGGAAACAGCCGAAGGTCCACCACTCGAATAAGTCGAGTGGACCGGTACAAAGATGTATCCCTAGCGGGGAACATCTAGAAGAGAAACAATCGATCGCTCAGGTTAAGCGAAACGATAATCCTAGATCGACTGGAGAGTCTTTCGTAGAGGATCTCGCTGTGGTTGCGCAACCACAGCTAGAGGAAGTTAGGGGAATAAGTTCCAAGATTACAAATGCGGCGGAAATAAGTTCCCCGAAACCCGAGGGAATAATTCCCCGGGAAGCAGAAGGAATAAGTCCTTCGAGGCCTGAGGGAATAAGTCCCCAGGAAATGACAGAGACATTGAATGTCATAGTCAATAATGGATCAAGTGTAGGCGCTTATACACTTGATCTGATTGCGCCTCCGAAGTTGACTTCGGAGATCACTCAGTTGCCAACGCTCGAACATAAAAGGTTCTTGCGTGATCTACGTAGTGTCAAAGTCAAGCAGATCTGCGTACTCGTCGCTGACGACGAGTGTGTATCCGACATAAGGTCAGCAACAGTGTTTACTGAGAACGAGAGAGTTCTCAGTAGTTCATCTATGGACGAGAGTGTCCTGGATGAAAAGACACGAATTGAGCGATATGACTCCCAATCGTGGGAATCGCTCAAGACAAATCCTCTCTATGAAGATTTGGTTGAATTCAAGGATGTATTCCCTGGAACTGTTCCGTGCGAGTTACCGAAGGATAAAGGTATTCGACACGAGGTCGAGCTTAAACCAGGCTCGAAGTGCTGTGTCATGAAGCAGTGGCCACTGCCTAGTGAACAAGTACTTCCGATCGACAAGTTCTTTGCCGATCGTTTAGCAGCGGGCCATGTGAGGGAACCAACTTCCCCACATAGCTCTCCGACCTTCTGTGTGCGAAAAGCAACAGGAGGGTGGCGGATAGTGCATGCATTTAACAAGTTGAATGCTGCAACGGTACCGGCTCAGACGCCGATACCGAGGAAGGACGTCATCATTGATGGTATGTCAAAGAGTACCATCTTTTCGTCCATGGATTTGATGGATAGCTTCTATCAAATCCTTATGCGGGAACGGGATATACCCTATACCGCAGTTAGCATGCCTAGCGGCATGCTCTGGGAATGGCTAGTAATGCCACAAGGGCTCAGTAATGCCCCTGCCACGTTCAACAGATGTGTAACACATCTGTTGAGACCAGTACGAGAATTCGCACCGAGTTATTTCGATGACGTATTCATCCATAGTCGAGCTATGGATGGAAAGTCGGACGTTGAGGTTCACAGGTACCACGTTCGACAGGTTCTTACAATCATGCGAAAGCATCAATTGTATGCAAACCTCAAGAAGTGTATATTTGCAGCAAGCGAAATACCACTTCTTGGATACATCGTTGGTAAGAACGGTGTACGTCCTGACCCGAAAAGATCAAGGCGATCACCGACTGGCCTGTGCCGGTTGATGTCAAAGGTCTTCAAAAATTCCTTGGGTTAGCGGCGTATTTGCATAAGTATTCACGCAATTACGCCGAGATGACTGTGCACCTCTCTCGTTTGTTGAAAAAGAACGAGAGGTGGTTATGGAACGCTGAATGTCAGCGCTCCTTTGATGGTATCAAGCAGAGCTTGATACAATCCCCAGTCCTAGCAATAGCCGATCAGGACAGGCCATTTCATGTGGTCTGTGATGCCAGCGATTTCGCAATCGGCTGTGCATTAATGCAGTACGATCTTGAAGGCGTTGAACGCGTCGTCTGCTATCAGTCACGTCAGATGCAACCAGCTGAGCGGAACTATCCAGTGCATGACAAGGAACTCTTTGCCATGAAGTATGCACTCGCGAAGTTCAGAGTCTATCTATTAGGAGATAGACCCTTCATTGTTTACACTGACCATGCGTCATTACGCACAGCAGTGAACAGCCTGCACCCTTCACAACGAATGGCGCGGTGGTTGTCATTCTTTGCGGGAATACAACTTTACGGTCGAGTACAAACCAGGACGACTTAATGTCGTCGCTGATGCACTCTCACGTCGTCCCGACTTTGAACCAGTCGTGAAACCCAACAGTGAGACAGTCACTGTTGCGGTTATGACGTCCTCAGTTCCATCTACAACGTTGTATGATGATGTGAGGCGGGCATACGCCCAAGATGGTGAGATATTGAAGTTGTTGACACATCTCTCCCAACCATCTCGAGAACCGTTGAAACGATTATCGTCTACGTATCGATCTGCATCAGATCGATACACTACTCGTAACGGTTTACTGTATTATACAGCCGTTTCTGGTGACACACCACGTGTTGTCATTCCAGATGATACTGATCTGCGTTTGCGGATCATGTTCGAGTATCACGATGCTCCTATAGGAGGACATCGTGTCCGGGAGAAAACATATCTCACGGTGAGTCGAGACTTTACTGGCCCCGCCAGTATCAGTGTGTGCGAAAGTATGTTCGCGCATGCGAAGTCTGCCAACGAGTGAAGTCAAGTCCTTCACTGCGTGCACCTTTACAGCCTCTACCGGTTCCGGCTGAGTGCTGGGAATCCATCTCAATGGATTTCGTCTTCGGGTTACCCAAAGACGCACGCGGGAATACGGGTGTTCTCGTATTTGTTGACAGATTCAGCAAAATGGTACACCTTGTGGCTGTACCAGAGACAATCACGGCAAGTGGCTGTGCTTGTGTCTTTATTGACACCATCTTCCGACTTCATGGGTTGCCCCGTGAACTCGTATCAGACAGAGATCCACGATTCACTGCTGATTTCTGGCGTTCCGTGTTCAAATCACTCGGAACGCGCTTGAAGATGTCAACATCTGATCATCCAGAGTCAAATGGTCAGACGGAACGTGCCAATCGTGTCCTTGAAGAGATACTTCGAGGATACGTACACTCCTTTAAGAGTTGGAGTGAGTTTTTGCCAATGGTAGAGTTTGCCATCAACAACTCGGTGCATGCGTACACGACACATACACCGTTTTACGTGAATGGCTTGCGCCATCCGCGTGTACCTACCTTACTAGAATGTAACTCTGGTTTAAGGGGGGGAGGGACTCGCGCGAGCAAAAACCGATTTGGTTCACGCTCATCACGCTCTGACGAAGAAGTCATTGCGTTTGATGCCGATATCGATAACATCGATATCGAAGAACGTGATGCCAGTGAGAGTGCGGAAGCCCTCACTAGAAAGCGGAAGCCCTCACTGAAGAAAAGGTTGATGTTGCTGCAGTGCGCTCACAGCACACTGAAGCTAACGAGTCATCAGATGAGTTCATACTGGCTCGTCAAACGGTAGTCCGTTTTGTGCAAGACTCCATCGCCGAAGCGGTGGATAAGCAAAAGCGAAACGCTGACAAGAATGGAAGGGCAAACACTCTTTTATTTAATAAAGGTGACTTAGTCCTACTGTCTACGGTTAATCTACCAAAGCATGTAGTGACTAACTTGGGTAGCAGTAAACTACTACCCAAGTACATCGGCCCATTTCGGGTATTGCACCGCCTAGGCAATGCATACACGATCGAGTTACCACGTAAGATGCGAACGCATCCCACGTTTTACGTTGGTCGGCTTAAGCCGTACCATCAGTACGCTGCTTCTTCCGATGAAGAACGCCCTTGCGCTCAAGCATCTCGCAGAGAGCCTTGTGCTCCCGATGGTGGGCATCAACAAGGGTCTGAAGAGCAGCTATCTCATCCCGAGACCGATCAGCAATTTCACGAGCTACCCTTAGCTCTTCACGAAGAGATGTCAGAGATCTCTCGTTCTCAAGCTGAGCAAAGGCAAACTCAGCTCGATGCTTCAAGACAGTGTCCGCCATTTGGAGACGCCTATTCCGCTCATGTTCGAGATCGTCGCGTAACCCTTTGCGTTACGCGATCAAAGAAGCTCTCGGGAACACACGGATCCACATGATCGTGTGGAGAGTGTCTTTCCTCCTCCTCCACCTCCATTAGAGGACTCTCGCGGTGGCCAGCGCTATCTAGTTGAACAGCTGTTGAACCACCGCGACGTGAACGGACGTCGGACGAGTTATCTCGTCCGGTGGCGCGGCTATCCCCCGTCCTGGGATGCTTGGGAGCCCCGCTCCCAACTGATGGTTGACGTACTGGGTCTGGTTGAGCAGTACGACGCGGCACATCCTGTGCCAAAGAAGGACCGCCGGAGAAGGTCTTCCCGGCAGGGTCGTAAAGTGATTTTAGGTTGTCAATCCCTTCGTACATCTCACTAGAGATACGTACGCGCCACCACGGGCTAGTAAGGAGGTAAGCCTCCTGAGGTGCTCGTGCAGAGTTGTTCACACAACATGGGCACAAGTCTCCCCAAGAGAGGCAGGGTAATCCTTTCTCCCTTGACAGACGATGCAGCTTGTAGCGTGCACCTGTCGGGGTTCGCTTTTCAAACTTATCGCGAGCTTTGATAAGTTTGTCGTTCCAAGCGTCACGACCTACATCCTCGAGGTTATGGATGTAGGAGTTCCACGCCTGAAGTAGTGAGGGACCATCACGTTTGTGATTCCCACTGTACCATCGATGTCTAAAGAAAGCATCGATGAAGAAATCGGTCTCAGTTCGATAGTCTTTCGCACTGGGGTCAAGGTGATGGATCCTTGACGAATCGAACAACCGTGTTCGATAACGATCACTCGTCGTCGCCGACAAGTGATCCATGACGGATTTGGGAGGCATCCATGCCTTCTTCTCAGGAGCAAGACGCAACACACTGCGGTCTCGCTCTTCCTGCGACGTGTTGACAGAAGGACTGGCACCTCGTTGCGAAGTGGTGTCCATAGGAGAACCGACACCACTGTTAGCGCCCGAGTCTCGCGACCTCGAGCGCCTTCGCTTTGGCGATGGTTCATTTGATTAATCAGATGAACCAAAGATGCTACGACGCAAAGCATCGTCCATGCCACGCTTGGCAGGCGGCTTAGATTCAATCGCCGTCGATACGGATCCGTCTTCCGTATCAGGAGAGTATGAGACACCGAGCTTATACTCTTTGAAGACATGAGTGTCTTCATGACGAGCGCCTGCATCACCATGTGATACAGGCTGAGACGCTTCAGCAACCGATGTGACATCAGTTGCTGTGGTTTCTGCTTCGGCGTCCGCACAGAGACGTGCGGACGCGCTCTCGGCGGCCTTGCTCGCGCATCGCATGGGCTTGTTAACCATGCGATGAATTGTTGGAAAGTGGACGCGGACCAACAAGTGCAAACCCTGTCCCAAATGGTTTGAGACGAGTATCCATTCAGTCAATCAGTCACTAAAGTGACTGATAGTTAAGGGGGGGGGTGATGTAACGGGGTGAACCGTTGCATCACAATTTATAAGAAATTGTTAATAGAATATAACTATAAGAGTTTCATTCTCATAATATTGTCATAAGGACAAATTTTCTGTAGAACTTACGAGTAGTTCCTAATTGGTTGATATAGGCCACTATATCAACCAACGAAGTCGCGCCACGACAGACGCACGCAATGAGTGGTGACCAGATATTTGATTTACATATTTGTATTTAGACATAGTTAGATGAAGATAAATAGTGATTTATTGCAGACATTAACTATTATAAATACAGTTCTACTTTTTACTTTAACCAAGTACCCGCTTCTTCTTACCGTCTTCCTCTACACGTACGAGTGTACGTGAAGTTCCGAGGAACCGCCTTATTCTGTCATCAGAATAAGTAGCTTGTACTGTCACCAGTACAAGCTTCAGGGTGACCCGTTACACTAACACCATTGGGTCTTCAGCGTGACCTAAGGTTGCATTGTCTTTTACCACGCAAAATGATGACCTAAATACGTTCAATTTTTCTTGGGTTTTGCACGGAATCCAATTCAGTCTTGCGTCTCGACTGAATTTTATGATGCTTGCTGCTACTTTTCTATAGCAGTCGGATAGGCGTAATGTAGCGCCCTTACGAAGGATGGGAAGGCGGCCGTCGGGACTGAGCGACACCGTTACTTCGATTGTGCTACAGCAGCCAACTTCGGTTTTTGTCAGCTGTAACTGGTGTCCCTGATCAGCAACAAGCTAGTGAGACGCATGCATGTCGTACACACATATTCCGTTCCTACCAATGCAACATGACCTTGCTGCTGACGTCTTCATATAGTTTTGTTACGTGTGCAGTGCTACCTTTCTCCACCAGCGTTCGAATCCAGCAGGCGCCACTGTTTACGAGAAATGTGGCTCTTCTTCGATCGCTTACTCACCATGTGCTCAAGGTTTTCATCACACTTTCTGCGCAAGTTCGGCGCATACGTTGCAAGGGAACGATCCAGACCAGATTTTCGTGTCCGCGCTTTAAGACAGCGCCAGGGTCATTATGAGCCGATTTCCGCGTTCATCACTACCCGCGGCGTTGTGAGCTCGCACCCTTCTGTATCTTCTGCAGTATCATCGGGTGCCCCTTTCATCACTAATTACGCGATGATATTCCCTGTATCGGGGTGCCTCCATGACGTGATAGTTCACACAAGGTAAATATCAAGTATGAACACTCTGTTAGGAGAAATAGAATATTCTCACAGTATTATCTTAATCGATAATATTGTGTTGCAGAAGTAATGCACTGCTCATTGGTTGACATGGATTAACAATATCAACCAATGAAGACAAACCACGACAGAAGAACGCAGTGAGTGGTGAGCAGATAGTTACAATATGTGTTTGTATTTCGAAATAGTTATATGAAGACCAAATAGAATTTCTTGACAGGAGATTAACTATACTAAACACAGTTCTACTTTTCCCCTTCTCTCGTGTTGAACTCTTCTTCTGCACGACGCGTGTACGTGAAGTACCGAGGCACCACCTTACTCTGCGCTCAGTGTAAGTAGATTGTATTGTGAAAGCGACCGGTCCCTCGCTACGCCCCGCGCTTCTGTCGACTCGGTATAAATATACTTTCGGGCTTAGGTAAAAACCCTCAGGTTTGGTGGTACAGTTTGTACAATTAGAACTCTTTCTTAAGAGCGATACGTGTCTCTTGTAAGAGGACTAGGTCAATCTGTCTGCGGAAATCATGCTGTCAAAGTGCCAGAACCACTACGTACACCGATCTGAGTGTTTGCATAAAACTTGACACATTTTGGGAATGAAGACCTACAGTGTCATCCCCATGTCGCCTTAGGATCAATAACGGTCGCTGAGATCGCATTGTGGACCCTCTTTAAGGAATGGAAGTAATGGAGGAGTGGGCATCCCACCTCCTCAATAAGGTCACAGTTGAAAGACGGTACTGGAAATGTATTACTTCCGGCGTTCTCACAACGAATGGTTTATCAGTGGAGGTGCCCTTATTATTCAAGAGTCGACATTTGACACTACTGAGAGACGGGGTCCATCTCTGACTGCTAGATTGGGAAGTTGAAGAGAACGGATGCAACTGCGTTGCGCACCTTGTCATAGAGTATGATAAACTGATGTCTTTTTGAGGTACAAAAGCGGTCCTTGTTTAATCCACTGGGGTCAGATGTTGCAAGAATATACACAATACATTTCTGATGCCCAGTGTTCGACATCCGACAGCGGGTTCGCACACAGTAGCGCAGGTCAACTTTGAATGTAAAAGGGCAGCCCGTTACATGAAATTGACACCACCCGGTTTCAATGGGGATGTTGTATAGCATGACAATATCCTACCAATATTATCCGAGATGGACAATATTGAAGGAATATTATCCTCTTTTTCAATATTCATGCGCTGCTCAAAGATTGGTTGATAAAAGACATACCAACCATAGATTACCACCAATCGCTGCTAGACGCGCGCAATGAGTGGTGAACAGGTTGTCGTCATACGACGACGTAGTTAAATATAGTCAGATAAAGATTAAAAAAAACTATTGATAGCTTAACAAAATTTAATACAGCTCTCTTTTTAACCTTTACCCAACTTAGCTGTTGAGTAGATTAGTTTCCTCTGCATGTACTAGTGTACGTAAAGTTTCGCGGCACCCCAAACTAAGGGTGCCCCGTTACACTAAATGCATCTTTGCGACTCGTCGCCAGTGCTGAATATAGTCGGTCGTTTTCAACCGTTTTTACCACGCTGAAACGCTTTAGTTGCAGTCCACCCTTTGCAGAGCCCTCAAAGTTTCTCATCTACGTGACCAGCATGCTGAAAATAACCAATAATTGAGATAAACTATCGATGGTGTGTTTGAAGTTGATCAAAGTGTCACCGGTCATGCCTGGAAGGTGTAGCACTGGAATGGCAGTGCACGTACAAGAGAATCGAGCTCATATGGTCAGTCTGTGGACCATACAGGCTGACCCGACTGACTCATAGGCAAGACAGCCGGTACAGTGACCATACCGTTGCGCTGGCTGGCCTAGGGTAAAGCATTACCAATTCTTGTCATGTTGCTGTATCCGGTCAGGGACAGCCGCTGTTGTCAACGCCACAGTGACTGTGTCATGTATTTTCGGATACGGGTTGCGTGCAACGTCTGGAAATGCGCGTCGAGTACACACGTGATAGAGAAATCGAATGATCTTGTTGCATTAGCCACCCGAGATATTACGCCTCCACGGAACGCGCCAGTGTCAGATCCATCGTCGACCAAAAATTTGATGCCAGCTAGGAGCTAGATGGTAGCTTTTTTATACTGGCCTTATCCAGCTCGGTGGTAATATGAGTACTTGAAAACGCATTGAGGAGGCGTCACGGCACTGCCTTCTAGGTCATCCAAGCGCATGGTGTCGCCAAATACTAGGGTACGCTTCGCTAGAGTAAAGTTAAGACTGTTTGTTTTTAACAGTACAGGAACAGGGGCGGTACAAGACACTGGATCTTAATCTATAGGTCTCCGATCATCTTTACGAAGGGTTCAAAAATTTACAGTAGAGCATCTAACCGGACGTTCTTGTCGGTGTCAAATGTACGAAAAAAAAGACGCTCAATTGCCGAGCGACTCCTCACTGTAATCTGACCAGCCTTGGCAGCAGATGATATCTCAAGTTGAGTTGAACTGATCGTGCAGCGTGTTGAGGGCCAAATAGGGTGTGGCTTGAGGGGGAGTTGATCTAGCTTGCGGGTTTTAGCTTTCAGCACCAAGTTTGAACGTACTGTTTCGTCTGCCACTCAATTTGACTCCAGATTGGCCATACGGTATTCGTATTCCGACGTGGTTAGTACAGAGGCGTCCACGTCGTTCTTTTGGCGACAGATACTAGCGTCGACTTCTGAGCCAAATCCAACTCCAATCATCGAGCTTTAGCTATAAACTATTGCCTTCTTCTTTACAGTCTCATGTTAAACATTGTCAGCCGGGTACAGAGTAGAGAGCTTGATGCCGACACTAGACCGACACAATAGAACATGATATATCACCACCTTGCTATTTCTGAAGGTGTGAAGTGACACGAAAGAACGAAGCTAAGCTTATCAAAGTACGCTGTATAGTCCCTGGTACGCTACTACGATGTCTCTAGTACACGCAATGCTAAAAGCCATACTGGCTAACTAACTGATTGCCGCCAAAAATGTTTTGTTAAGGATACGCAAGCCAGGAGTATGTATTTTACAATCATCAGTCGGAATAGGGCCATCTGCACAGCTGAATCAAGCCACTTATCTCAACCGCAGAGGTACAAATATGGCAAGTGGGAAGAATCGAGAAGCCGTTGCAAAAAGACTGGGCAAAGCATTACGAGGCGTTAATGTAGAGTAGCTACACATCTCTTAGTTGGAGAAGGACTTACAACTCTGGAAGTCACTTGGTTTTACAATAAGTTCCTACAAATTTCGAGATTTTGTAGTTCTGATAAAG